AAATAGATGGCGGCTGTACATTTTACCACAATACCTTGCGAACCTTAGACAGCCTATAAGGCACAAAGAAAGCCCAATTTTTGTAATATTTGTTCCTGTACTAAGGACATTGTGTAGCCTAGGTTTGAAGATTTTAAAACTCTTCTGTACGTTTTTATGAACGTTGTTAAGGTTTTCGTGCGCTAAGAACTATGGGCAAATGTACCAGTCGCCATCTTTTTTCCTACGGAGGATTGTGACTACGGATGAATTTATGCACCTAATCAAAGCTGTACAAAAGATCTGAAACACCGATTTTAAAACATCATAAAATAGATATATTGAAAGATTAATTCCCACAAGATAACCTGCCGATAAAAGACGACACAATAAAGATGTAATATCAAGTTTACTTACCTCAAATAAGCGCTTCATCTCAAAGAAAATCGAGCTCGAAAAACTCCGAAATTCGCCGCATGTTCTCACTTGTAAAATCGAAAAAGGCAAAGAAGTCTGGGCAGACCTTCAAAGCTCTCGTGAGTAGACTGGTAACGAGGTACAAAACACGGAAGTACGGTCAATGTTGCGGTACAAATGTCTTAAAAACTTGCTTACCTTTATATCACTACTTTTTATTTCACTATTGAGACAGAGGACTACAGACATTTGGAATGTACTGGCGTGGTACACAGGAGATCAGATGAAAGGTAACGTGTAACAGAGCAGGCCATACCTTTATTGCTCCAGGCCGTACTAGATTCCCGACGACTGTCAAATTGTCGCTTCCTAAGTAGGGTTCTTTCAGGTTTTTCCGTCAAGTGTAGGCCGACACAGTTAAAAAGAAAAACAAACGGAGAAAAGGTCGCTCACAGGAGACATTTTTCTCTCCCCCGGTTAGGAGCTTGTGCTCAGTTTTTCCGAGAAAGACTGATGTAAAGAGGTCAATTTCGCGGAATTGTCAAAACTGAAGCGGAAAGAGTTTCCTATTCTCTACAAGTGTGCTGAATTTAACTGAAACAGAGTGTCAAAACACGTTAACACGCTGAACTCAAAACAAAGAGACCGCCCTGTGTAATCTGATCTCGTCCACGAAGAGAGTTTGCCTTGTTTTGGAGCCTGACTGAGGTACGAGAGCTTAATTTGCTCCGGTTTAAATTATGTGCTTGTCGATGACATTGTCGGCCTATATTTCCAAATGTAGTACGTAGCACTAGGAGATTTGTGGAAGTACAGCACAGAGTGCAATTTACAGTGTAAATGAGATAACTTTAAATTTCCTGACTAGTAGCGAANTAGGACGTAGCGCTAGGAGATTTATGGAAGTACAGCACAGAGTGCAATTTACAGTGTAAATGAGATAACTTTAAATTTCCTGACTAGTAGCGAAAAAGCGAAAAACGCCCCGACTTGCGCGTCATATTGCGTGACCAAATCAAAATTAGCTTAGACAACGCAACATGGCGACATATTTGGCATTCAAATTAAAATCTTCGAAAAGAGACGAGAGATCGTTAATTTTTTTCTTTTGTGGAGCTTATGACCGATTGAGTATCCATATTACAGTTCTATTGTATCAGATTTACAGACCTGAACCAGAGCTGAGAGGCCAGTTCGTAAATCATATACTCGATTACACGTAAATTCATAACTTTACATCATTGGAGCTTTTTATGTTCCGCGGGATACCAATTCGTTTATCACGGGTTTTTTCCTCTGGCTTTGCTACCCCCGTATTTTAATCCTGTGCGCACACAAAACTGCCGGCTAATATATAGTAAAACTTGAAGCAACTGTTGTTTATGAATGATTGATGAGGTCAATTCGATAACAAAAGAAGCTCATAGACCCTTTTCATAAATGGCTGCCAATTATAAATTCTTTAGTAAGTATTAAAATTAGCCTGACTAACCTCGCTTTTGAGTACGTTGATAATTCAAAAGAATTTGTACTCCCAAACGAGTTTAGTGAGGTTAATTTAAATGCATACAAAATAATTTTAAATTGGACGCCATTTATGAAAAGGGTCTCATCAAACCGGCGAAGGACTCCTTGGCTACAAACAACTTTTATATTTCTAAGCAAACTCAGACCTGCAGCAAGCTTGCCCCGTGTCGTCGCTGGGTTGTCTCAACAATTAATCCAAAGGAAAGAGTTTAAGTACGACCTCCCTCATCAACATCGTGTCAGCGTACAACGTTTTGAAACTTAGTATATGAAAAACTTTGTATCATTCAGCGGATCCATTGTTTGGAATCTTTTAGAACCATCCGTTGTCATCGCCAGAGATTATGCTAAAAGGGCAAAAAAAGTCTCCCGCCATCAGAAACTTGAACTTCAGAGAAGAGTCACCTTAAACGGGTCCCCAAATTGACAGTTATTTCGTCTTTTATCAATTTTATTCATATATATATATTTTGTATTTTTCAATTTTTTATTATCTTATTAACATTTTTTACACGGCCCCATAAGCTACAAAAACCCACCGTGTTTAAATAGAAGATGTTGCTTTGTTTGTTTTGAACGCCGCTTAACGCTATCCCAAGATTTATAGACCCTGATTTCCGTCTACATCACTG